TGTAGGGGGCAGGTGTGCAGGGCAGGAGGGGTCATGGGAGGCCATGGGACGGAGCCCTGGGGGAGATGTGTGGGACAGGGGACAGGTGCGCAGAGCAGGAGGGGCCATGGGATGGAGCCCTGGGGGAGATGTGTGGGGCAGGGGACAGGTGCGCAGAGCAGGAGGGGCCATGGGACGGAACCCTGGGGGAGATGTGTGGGGCAGGGGACAGGTGCGCAGAGCAGGAGGGGCCATGGGACGGAACCCTGGGGGAGATGTGTGGGGCAGGGGACAGGTGCGCAGAGCAGGAGGGGCCATGGGACGGAACCCTGGGGGAGATGTGTGGGGCAGGGGACAGGTGCGCAGAGCAGGAGGGGCCATGGGACGGAACCCTGGGGGAGATGTGTGGGGCAGGGGACAGGTGCGCAGAGCAGGAGGGGCCATGGGACGGAACCCTGGGGGAGATGTGTGGGGCAGGGGACAGGTGCGCAGAGCAGGAGGGGCCATGGGACGGAACCCTGGGGGAGATGTGTGGGGCAGGGGACAGGTGCGCAGAGCAGGAGGGGCCATGGGACGGAACCCTGGGGGAGATGTGTGGGGCAGGGGACAGGTGCGCAGAGCAGGAGGGGCCATGGGACGGAACCCTGGGGGAGATGTGTGGGGCAGGGGGCAGGTGTGCAGGGCAGGAGAGGCCATGGGATGGAGCCCTGGGGGAGGGAGGGGGAGATGTGGAGGGATGTGTGGGGCGGGGCAGGAGGGGCCAGGGGCCAGGGCCGTGGCGGAGGGAGGGGGAGATGTGGAGGGATGTGTGGGGCGGGGCAGGAGGGGCCAGGGGCCAGGGCCGTGGCGGAGGGAGGGGGAGATGTGGAGGGATGTGTGGGGCGGGGCAGGAGGGGCCAGGGGCCAGGGCCGTGGCGGAGGGAGGGGGAGATGTGGAGGGATGTGTGGGGCGGGGCAGGAGGGGCCAGGGGCCAGGGCCGTGGCGGAGGGAGGGGGAGATGTGGAGGGATGTGTGGGGCGGGGCAGGAGGGGCCAGGGGCCAGGGCCGTGGCGGAGGGAGGGGGAGATGTGGAGGGATGTGTGGGGCGGGGCAGGAGGGGCCAGGGGCCAGGGCCGTGGCGGAGGGAGGGGGAGATGTGGAGGGATGTGTGGGGCGGGGCAGGAGGGGCCAGGGGCCAGGGCCGTGGCGGAGGGAGGGGGAGATGTGGAGGGATGTGTGGGGCGGGGCAGGAGGGGCCAGGGGCCAGGGCCGTGGCGGAGGGAGGGGGAGATGTGGAGGGATGTGTGGGGCGGGGCAGGAGGGGCCAGGGGCCAGGGCCGTGGCGGAGGGAGGGGGAGATGTGGAGGGATGTGTGGGGCGGGGCAGGAGGGGCCAGGGGCCAGGGCCGTGGCGGAGGGAGGGGGAGATGTGGAGGGATGTGTGGGGCGGGGCAGGAGGGGCCAGGGGCCAGGGCCGTGGCGGAGGGAGGGGGAGATGTGGAGGGATGTGTGGGGCGGGGCAGGAGGGGCCAGGGGCCAGGGCCGTGGCGGAGGGAGGGGGAGATGTGGAGGGATGTGTGGGGCGGGGCAGGAGGGGCCAGCGCCCTGGGGGAGGGAGGGGAAGCTGCGGAGGCGCGTGCGGGGCGGGGGCAGGTGGGTACCGAGTGCTCGGGAACCCCCGTCTGGTTTGGTTTTGCAGATGTAGCGGACGGGACAGCCGTGGACATTTTCTCCTTTGGGATGTGTGCCCTCGAGGTAGGGAGCCGGGCGCCGCCCGAAGGGGCAGGACCCGGCGTTCCCGGGCCCTGGGGGGTCTCGCTGTGCTCCCCGCTCCCCCGCGAGGGCGGCGCTGTGCCCTCTGCTCCGGGGCCGGCTCGCAGACCTGCCCCCGTTTGCAGTGACGGGGGCTCTGGTCCTGAGCGGAAGGTTTCTTGCTGCCCTCCCTGGGGAGCTGTGGGAGAGCTGGGCCCACGGCCCTGCCTTTCGCCGAGGCTCTGCCCAGCCCCAGGGCACGGCCAACACTGGCCTGACCCCTGGGGACCTGGGACAACATGAGCAGCTGCTCACAAGGGGCTCTGGCCCTGCAGCCCCACACCTCCCTGGCCGGAGCCCCAGGCCAGCTTAAGGAACCGATCAGGCCCTGCGTGGCGCTGTGTGGAGCTAGGAGGGACCCAGACCTCCCTTCCAGAGGGGCCATCGGGGCGGGCTCTCCTAGTGAGGGGGGGCAGGACAGTCCTGGGGGAGGCTGGGCAGAGCCCAGCTCCTCTTCCCTGCAGATGGCGGTGCTGGAGATCCAGTCGAATGGGGACAGCCGGGTCTCGGAGGAGGCGATTGCTCGGGCCAGGCACTCCTTGGATGATCCCAACATGCGCGTGAGTGAGCCGGGCTGAGCCCCTCTAGGAAACACCAAGGGCATTGCAAAGGGGCCCAGCCACAGTGCCCCACCTGCTGATGGCCTCAAGGCTCCCACCAGGCTCCCGCTATGGGGCTTGCTGCCCCATTTCACACACACAGGTCTTGGGGCACCTCCACCTCAATTTCCTCCTCAGGCTCGGGAGAGGGGTCAGGGATCCTGCGTGTGCTGCAGCAGAACTACAGGACTCGGGCTCCCCATCCCCATCCAGCCTCCTTCTCAGGGTCCTTGGGGATCCAGGTCCCTCCGCTGCCCCAGTTTCTCTCCTGGCCGGCCCTGTCTAGAGGGAGATTAAACCCTGAGCCCCCAGGCTCTGAGGTGCATGTCCTAGAGGCCAGGGGAGAGGTCCTGGAGACCAGCTCTCGGCTGCTAGGTCGAAGCTCTCCAGATGCTGCAGGAAAGTTCCAGTCCCTCGCACGGGCTAGGTAGGCAGAACTGCAGGGGGTCAGTGTGTGGACGAGACATTGGGGCAGCGAGGAGGTTTTAGGGTTACTAGGAGCTGGGGAACACTTTGGAAAGGAGGAGCCCATACCGCAGGACCAAGATGGAACCGGCGTGCTGACTCATAGCATTACAGACGGTTCAGACTAAGGGAGGGAGGAAAGCTGATGAGTGCAGAGGAGCACATGGTTCAGGCAGAGATCTCGAACTCCTATGGATGATTTTATCAAGGGGGGCTCTATATCCTAGTAAGGAAAATAGAAAAGAAGTTGGTAAAGTGCAGCGAGGAGCTAGTGCGGGACAGTCAAACCTACAAGAGTCCTGTTTAAATAGAACACGAGTTTTGACAGACTGGATACATTCTAGAGAACTACGATGGCATTAAATGAGGATACTGATATAAAAGCCATCGCAGAAACTTGGTGGAATGAGCATAATCAATGGCACATGAAATCATAAGGCTGGGAGGAACTTTGAGAGGTCTAATCCCATCCACCATGCTCATGGAAGGGTTCGTTCTTATCTAAACCGTCCCTGACAGATGTTTGTCTAACCTGCTTTTGTAAACCTCCAATGACAGAGATTCCACAACCTCCCTGGGCAATTTATTCCACTGCTCAGCCACCGTGGCAGGTAGCAAAAACTTCCTTGTGTCCAGCCTAAATCTCCCTTACTGCAATTTAAGCCCATTGATTCTCGTCCTATCCTCAGAGGACAGTTTTTCTCCCGCCCACTTGTAACACTCTTTTATGTATTGACATTGTTATCATGTCCTCTCCCTCTGTCTTCTCCAGGCCAAACGAACCCAGTTTTCTCCATCTCCCCACACAGGTCTCGAAAAGATGACTTGTGATCACGTTTGTCACTCTCCACTAGACTTTCTCCAGTTTGTCCTGAAATGTGGCCCCCAGAACTGAACAGAACACTCTAGCTGAGCACGATCATACCAGGGCACAAAATACCCAGGAGTGCGCGAATAGGCGAGGGATGTCACCGTGCAGGCGACTCACTGACTAACCAATACGCAAGTGTGTCGGGATTGCTACTGACTGCACTCTGCCCCCGCCAGGACGTTTTTAGCAAGTTGGTCAGCAGCCCAGCTCAGTCCTGGTCCAGGTCCTCCCCCTGCTGTGGCTCTGCATTTAAAGTGTATTAGGAGCCAGTCGGGCAGGCAGCCTGGCTCACTTCCGGCTCGTGCTGGGGCTGCGAGCTCAGACCTCACCCCACCCCCTCGAACAGGAGTTGCTGCCACCCCACAGGCAGCCGGTCTGCGAGGCAAGCTGGTTCTTAAATTGGCTTCGCTGGCGGACCAGTCCTGCTTGCTCCACACTGGCTGCCGGCCCTGGCCCCATCCCCGCCCCCAGGGACTATAGAATAGTTGAGTAAGCGATAGAAATTCATGCGGTGACTCGACGATTCAGTTAACTGATGTTTAACAGCCCTAGAATAGGTGGTGCTGGTTGGGGTGTGGCAGTATATGGAGAGGCAAATCTGTAATGAACCAAACTGCACCATAGAATCTCTATGGGTAGAAATTCTGTGTTTGAATAATAGGAGTATAGCAGAAGGAATACACTGCCGCCTACCTGCCCAGGGTGGTGAAGGTGATTGAGAACTGCTCCAGGAGATCAGAAAGGCTACAAAGGGAGAAAATGTAACAACAACAATAATAAACTATCCTTCACATATGGGCTGCGTCTAGACTGGCAAGATTTTGCGCAAAAGCGGCCACTTTTGCACAAATCTTGCTGCCTGTCTACACTGGCCGCGAGTATTTGCACAAGAACACTGACGTTATACTGTACAAAATCAGTGCTTCTGTGATGGACCAGGCCGTGTCTGGG